TCTCAAGAAGCCTACATATGACGCCATGTAAATCGGGCTCTTGAATGGTGGGAGGGACCTCTTCAATGATGACAGTGGCCTCTTGAACGGTGGGAGGGGACTCTCGAGGAATGATATGGGGGCCTCTTCAACGATAGGAGTGGACTCTTGAGGGATGACAGGCGAGTCGGGCTTCTTCTTGCGGTGTCTTCGCACTATTGGGGTGTACGGAGACTTAATAGCACGTGCACGCTGTCTGATGCGTGAACTCCGTCGTGCAAGCATAACCCGACGTAAAGCATCCACTCTATCGGGCCGCTAAATAATTAAATACAAAAATCAGTAAAAAACAGACATGATATTTAAACAGTGAAAACAAAGACAATATGTTTCAAACTTGCATTGTATTCACCCAAGTCATTATTCTATCATAGTTCACAAAATGCATCAGATAACAAAGAAAAATATGTTTCAAACTAATACCCTGAAGTTAGTATTTGTCTTTGTTTTGTCTATGGTTGAAGTAATGCAATCCATTCAAGTTTCAATTTGCAGAAGAAGAAATAGTTTACTTTCGCAACACGAAACTTAAAATCGCAACGCGAAACCAAAATCGCAACGCGAAATGCAAATCGCAACGACAGAATCGCAATGCGAAATGAAAATCGCAACGAAAGAATCGCAACGCGAAATGAAAATCGCAATGCGATTTTGGTTTCGCGTTGCGATCTTGTCGTTGCGATTTTGGTTTCGCGTTGCGATTCTGTCGTTGCGATTTTCATTTCGCGTTGCGATTTTGGTTTCGCGTTGCGATTTTAAGTTTCGTGTTGCGAAAGTAAACTATTTCTTCTTCTGCAAATTGAAACTTTCAACCAAAAGACAAAACAAAGACAAATACTATTTCACAGTGTTAAGAATACACAGTTTAGCAGAATTGGCAGCAACCGAACAAATTTACTTTCAACCAAAAGACAAAACAAAGACAAATACTATTCACAGTGTTAAAGAATACACAGTTTAGCAATTGGCAGCAACCGAACAAATTTACTTTCAACCAAAAGACAAAACAAAGACAAATACTATTTCACAGTGTTAAAGAATACACAGTTTAGCAGAATTGGCATCAACCGAACAAATTTACTTTCAACCAAAAGACAAAACAAAGACAAATATATTTCACAGTGTTAAAGAATACACAGTTTAGCAGAATTGGCAGCAACCGAACAAATTTACTTTCAACCAAAAGACAAAACAAAGACAAATACTATTTCACAGTGTTAAAGAATACACAGTTTAGCAGAATTGGCAGCAACCGAATAAATTTACTAAGCAATCTAAGTGAAATGGCTAATCTAAGTGAAATTACGAGTAAATTTATCATTAAGTTAAATATGGAAAATCTTAAACTTACCTCGTTGCGTAGAGTATGAACCTCATTCTGCAACGATACTATCATCTCACGTAGAGCGGCAACCTCACCACGTAAAGTTGACACCTCCACACGCCATGCACCATCGTTATCGCGTAGAGTACCGATCTCCTCACGCAAGGCATTGACCTCATCACGTAACTCCCTTGACTCATCCCGTTGAGGTGGAGAACAGGGAGATAGGAGTCGTGGCATCTTTGCCGGTCGCCTATCATGAGGTGATGGTGGAGAAGAGGCTCGATGATGTGACGGGATAGGTGATGGCTCTCGTTCTAGAGGTGTATAGTCGGTTCGATCGGGTGATGGCTCTAGGTGAGGTGATGGCTCTCGAATTGGAGGAAGTGGATGCTGCTCATCATCCGTGCCATCAAAAAAATTCTGACTAGCTTGCCACCAATCAGTGGCAAGCTCTTCCTCCGTGGGTGTCAGTCTTTGTAATGGAATGTTGGCCTCCTAAAATATAAAAACTCAAACAAAGTTAAACGTCTACTATTAATAACTTGTTTATATATTATATGAAAGTATTTGTGTTAACTTACATTATTATTGTGGCATATGGTATTAAGTCTTCCCAATCCAACAGAGTTTTCCTCTTCCAGGAAATAGCCCTGGGAATATCATTTGACGTTTTTATTGCATATGTACGCATGCTGGGGAAAGCCTCGAATATCCAAATCTATAAACAATATAATAACAAATTAGTAATTGTTAAATAATTAATTATAATTTTAGAAACATTATATAGAAATTCTTACCTTAAAGGCCCAAACAAAGCCTGACAAAGTGTATTTGGACCCATCGCCCCGCAAACTTTTGCGGTCATCAAAGGCAGACGACAACTTAGTCCAGGTAGCTTTCCATATATACGAACCCCACGGAAACAGATTCCATGCATTCAGGTCCTCTACCAATATTATTAGCTCCCGATGAATAGGTTGTCTGGCCTCTCTGCCTAAAAAGCCGGCATACACAAGTAGTAGAAGGCATACTCGGACAACATCGACGTCTTCCATCCGAGTGAAACCAGCTTTCTTATTAAATAATTTCTTCAGGTCGTCAACATGTAGGTTCGGCTTCTCCATTGACTCATCCGGAAAAACCCGGGATAACCATGATGGGCGGGCGATATGACGAGTGTACCGGCCTACATCATCGTGTCCGAATCGTAGACCAGTGATTAAGCAGAACTCCTTCCGCCCAAAGCAAGTATACGCTGGTGGAAAATGAAACCATATCTCTTCCTCACCACGTTGTATACTGTCGGGTAGATTTGATGTCATGGTCTGAAGCCACAAATGGGTCAAATTAGCATCTCCACCCGGATGCTGTACTCTCAGCCATGGCCCGAAGCAGGTTTCCTCAAACAATTGTCTTTGAGCAGGTGAAAGCTTCTTTGCAATTGTAGTGGCCAGGCTGACTTTATTTCTCAAGGTCAATTGAGCCGAAAAAAATTTCTACAAAAACAATAAACATACCAAGTTAGATATACCAAAAACTACACTGTGAAGATATACCAAAAACAATAAACATAAAAAGTAGTAGTTTATTCTTGAAACTAAAATTTGCAACACTGTTTTGTCTTTTGGTTGAAATGAAAATCGCAACGAGAGAATCGCAACGCGAGATGACAATCGCAACGAGAGAATCGCAACGCGAAATGAAAATCGCAACGAGAGAATCGCAACGCGAAATGAAAATCGCAATGCGATTTTGGTTTCGCGTTGCGATTCTCTCGTTGCGATTTTCATTTCGCGTTGCGATTCTCTCGTTGCGACAGTCATTCTCTCGTTGCGATTTTCATTTATCTCGTTGCGACTCTTCTGCAAATTGAAACTTGAATGGATTGCATTACTTCAACCAAAAGACAGAACAAAGACAAAGACAAATACTAACTTGAAAATCGCAACGAGAGAATAGCAACGCGAAATGAAAATCGCAACGACAGAATCGTAACGCGAAATGAAATCTAAGTGAAATGGTTAATCTATTATTGAAATGACCAGTAAACTTATCATCAGTTTCAATATGAAAAACCTACAATAATGCAAACATTTCAAAATAAAAATAATTAAAAAAACTAACCCTCGGAGGTTGATTTTCCATTTCTGAATATTGTGAGGGATTTCTGACCGTGAATGGTTGTGAGGGATTTCGCCGGAGATGGGGACGGAAATCTTCGGAGATGGGGACGGATTTCTTCGCCGTAGAGAGTGAGAGATGGAGATGGGACTGAGTTGTGATTTTAGGTTTTAGGTTATGAGTTGCGATTACGGGATTTTGTCTTAATATTCTTTTTGTAATTTGAAAATAAAATACGCGTAGCGATTATAATGACGCTTTAAATATCGCGTTGCGATTTACGGATACGCGTTGCGATTTTATGTATTATCGTTGCGATTTACGGATACGCGTTGCGATATACGGATACGCATTGCGATTTACCCATACGCGTTGCGATTTACGGATACACGTTGCGATTTACGGATACGCGTTGCGATTTATGTGTTCGCGTTGCGATTTTCATATTCGCGTTGCGATTATGGAAAATCGCAATGCGAATTTGTACTATCGCATCGCGATTTTCAAGAATCGCGTTGCGATTTTGGAAACTGATTTGCGATTCTGGAAACTGATTTGCGATTCTGGGGATCGCGTTGCGATTTTTATTTCGCGTTGCGATTTTGTTGGTCATTTTGGCAAATCCAAAAAAAGTTGGTTAAAATCGTATATTATAACTTTTTTTTGGTCACTGAGGCGATTTTCTCTTTTGAATATGTAGAATTAATAATTAAATATAGTAGGTGTAATTTGTTGACGATACCCGCATCGGATCTTGGGATTTTGGAATTGAATTTATTATTAATTGATATCGTAAATAGTACTGTATTTGAAAGTGGATGAAAACTCATGACTTGGTATTACAACATTTAAGACACAATTACTACAATATTTTTGGATTCAGTGTTCTATGCGTAATTTTGCCTCCCTTTCATTGCCATTGACTACATTGTAAAACCAAATCCTTTTCTCTTTATTAATCAATAATTATTTGCTTTGTAAAAAAATCATTTTTTTAAATTAACAATAATTGTTTGATTCAAATTGAATTCTATAAATTTAGTTCATTAATTTTTAAAAACTAGTAGTGCTTTATAAACATTTTTTTTCATGAATGCAAAAATGAAAGTTATAAAAATAAAAAATTGTAATAATTAGAGATTGGAAATTATAATAAAAAGGATTTATCCAAAGGTAGAGGGAACAAGCATTAAAACGGCGAGTAAAAAGGGAGTCCAACACCAACTCCGAGATTTCACGTGCGCCTGTTTCTATTTAATTTTCAAACCTATTGGAACAGCAAAGTCTTGCGTGTTTATGATCCCAAACTCTCTCATTTTCCTTAATGAGTTCGGAATAGACAGTGAAAAAGGACTAAATCTTTTAATTTAAAAGTTTTAAGAAATACATACTATATAATTTAGTGTAGACTAAACTCGTCCCTGATGGTAAGAAGTTGGAAGAATTATTTTACATTTGCATGTTTCATTCGATAAACTAAACTCGTTGCAATTTCAGCTTGGAGGGATTCATGTTACATCAACTGATAATATCCAACAAATTATAAGGGCCTTGAATGTTGTTCTCATAATTTACACAAATGAGGAAGCCTATACAACACTTCCATTCATGTTGTTTTTCCAACATCATGCAAATTTGCTTCAAGGACCTGTCTTTTCCTGCCATTTGAATCCGTTTCCAGCACCGGTGAGCCCTGACCTCACCTGGAAGAATGGTATACCAAGTTTAGTAGGAGCATTTAGGGTGGTGGCAATCAAAACATTGGTTTGGTCAACAGCATTGTTGCTTGAATGACTCCATGAATACAAACCAGGGTTTTAAATCAGAAATTTCCAAGTTTTTCATATTGATACCTGTACGGCGGTTCATCTCCAGTTTGTTTGACAGCAGCCGGATACAGCACATGCCCCGGCATGTTTAATCTTTCTATTCCAAACATATTGTAAGAAGCAGGAACCGAGAGTTGAAGGGATCTGCCAACATCCTCCGACTCCAACAATACCTTGCAATCCGGGCTGGATTCTGCAGTTGGATTGTACCGGTGCCACAAAAATCTAGCACTAGTTGACTTCTCTGGACAGGATTGGTTCACCAGAACAGATCCCGAACCATTGGAACAATCTTTTCTTCTCTCTGCATTACCATCTAATGAACTGTTTCCACTCATAACTTGTGAGACAGCTACATTTGAACAGCTCTGAAACAGCTGCTGCTGGGTAAATATGGGCTGACCAAAGAGTAAAAACTGGGGTTTCTTCACATTATCAGATTTCTCCTGATGATTAGAGTTCCCCGTCGTTAAAAAGCAAGATTCATTATCATGACTGTTTGTGCGCCTATTGTAAATTCTATTGTGCGGATCAGACTGGTGGAAATTGGACAGAAACAGTCCTGAATGCAGTTTGCTTTTATGATGGAGATCCGATAAAGCTAATCCGAATTGAACATGCCTGGCTCCCTGTATCCCAGGAGCATTATCAGATACAGGGCTGCTTGGCATCAAAAGTCCATCAAGGGGAAAGTTGAGGTGTTGAGGGAGCCGCAACCTCTTCCTCGGTGGTGAAAGGTGGAGAGTGGGCGTGTTTGTTGTCAATTCAACCAACCATGGACTTACACGCTTAACATTTTGCAATAAATCCGGTTCATCCCATGCCACCTGCAACGGTGATTACAGAGGCTGCTAAAACAGTTTATGAACCAATAAAGCTTAGACATCCACTTTTTAGTACGAGTCAAAGTGAATTTGTCCTTCGAGGAACCAAACACAAGTCAAATTTCTCTAAGATTTTCGTACAAGCCACATTTTATAAGGACAGGTTATGTATTTCTAAAGATCTATAGGTTTAAATCACCAAAAACATACTGGCAAAGGGGAAAAAACAAAGAAGACGTCTCCTATTCCGGTTTTCATGAGCAATTTACTTAATAATCAAGGGGGAGAATTGCACTATTAATGAAGCATATAGAAAAAATTTGATTCCTATTGATATATCAAGATAAACATTGGTTAGCATGTTGTAATTCAGCAGAAAAATATATCAAGTTTAATACAAATCCATATGAATCAGGGAGGAATAAAGCACCTGCAGAAGTCGCCAAGGTGAATTCGGCCATCGGATAGGATCCACAACTTGAACGGCAGATACAGTCCCCTTGAACCAGCTAATCCTAGAAGAATCCTCAGTCTCAGCAGCCATCTTGAACCTCATACCACGACACCAAGGAATCTTCATTGCTGCCTTCACTGCAGATGCCTTGACACAAAACTCTAGTGTGCTTGCTCTTGGATAATAAACAACCTCAAAAGGCTGTCGGCGACTGACGGCAACCGCTGCCAGAACAGCCTCTGGCCTCACTTTTCCATTCCCACCAAAACCCAAACCCCTATTTCCCATTATCTTACTCTCATCCTCCTTCAAGAAAGCTGAAGCTCCTCCATAAGACCTAACACAATAACCAATCTCAGTCCCACGCTTGGCTCGCCTGATCCCAAGGCAAAGATCACCGTTCTCAGCTCTCAAGAACACAATGGAGTCCCCAGCAACAAGCTTTTTATGGTTCACAAAACTACTCCACCCACTAGTGAATAGATGCCTCCTAGGAGTTCCCCTATAAATATGTCTAAACTTCCATGTCTGACCACGAACATCCTTGGCTATGAGAGTTTGAACTGGAGGATCTAAAGTGTAATCCAACCTTGGGAAAATGGTCTCAGCACAGTATCTTGGAACTGAAAATCCACCCCCATTGTTAGCATCAGATTGAGTCAATGTCTTAGCAAAAGAACAAGCAGGCTTTTCCCCATTAGAGCCACAACCTAAAACCGCATCATCGTCTCCAACATCGAGCTCATGGTTTGGTAATGGAATAAGGATGATTTTGGCATATACTTGATCAGTTTCAGTATCCGCCAAGAATTTGACTGAGGCTACTCGGCAAAGAACAAGAGATGGGATTTGAGGAGAATATGAGAAATCCAGAGGAGAGCGAGAGTGGTCAGCATGGCCTTGAGGAAAATAGTAGACTTTGGAATTCAATGGTGGGATTTGAACCATGGATCCAGCACAGGCATGCCATAGATTTGTATCTATGCTCTTTTCAGGTTCCTTCATTTCAGCCCTCTGAAATTTTCTTGCACACACTCTTTGAAGAATTTAAACCGAGTTAATGCAACCCAAGAATTGGTTATAAATTTCAGACCATGAAAAGAAAAAACACTTGATTAAAGTTAGGACATCAACGACAAGACAAGTCTCTTACCTTCTTTTATTAGAAAACAAAATAACGATACAGAAAATACTTCTCAAATAACAGCCCCCGACCGGGATATATGGCTATGCTGATTAAGATAAACTTTGCTATGAGACTTGCAGGTTTTCCAAACCCGGGTTTTGTTTAATTTATACACAGAACACTAAAATCTCTTATCAGAATCTAAACAAGCTCCTCACTTTTCGTCATCATCTTTTACTACTTTTTCAATATTTTAATAAAATTTGATGTCATTTTATATTTAAATTTATTATTACTCTATTAATATTTAATACAATGATTATGCATACATTATCACTGAGTTTTGCCATTAATATATTGTTGTAAAGTTTTAAAATTAAAATTATCAATTATGACGTGTTATATTTAATTTATATACAATATATACTCAAATCATTATAACATTAAATATTGTCTTTTCATTAATTACATCAATATAATAGTGTACCGGACACGACACACCAATACAAAATTATATTTATTCAAAATATATAAAATTGTACATCATTAATACATCAAATATTATCTTTTTATTGTATCTTTTATTTATTTAATATCTTTTCAAACACTAATTGATAGTAATTTCAAAGATTTTATATATCAAGGTTTATTGTTTTGCTGGTACCCATTACATATTAGCTGTTGTTTATTCAAAAAGTATTTTTATAAAACTAATAAAATGTCAGCAATATCTCCTGTGGTGATATGAACTGAGCAAAATATCGTGACGAGACATCCTATTTTGTTCGTGTCACTATTATAAAACATTTTGAAAAAGAATCCATATCAAATATATAAAGGATAAAGTATGTTTAAAACTATTTTAATCCTAGTTGATATTAGATACAGATCAGATCCAGACAATCTCCCTTCATCATTTTTTATTAATTTTTTTTAAAGAATCCATATAAAATAGTTTTTTTAATATTAATTATAAAAAATATAAATATTATTTTACCGATGACTTGTACTATGTTAAAATAATATTAAAAAAACTGTATTTTGAGATTTAATTAAATATAGCTAAGACCTAATACTGTCAAACATTCACTAAAGCCTAATTTCAAAATACAGACTGAATCCTAAGTCCATCATTTTCAATCTAAATCTAACACAACTTCACTTGACAATGGATCTTTCAACATAAACTCACCAGAATCCAAAACCTGAAAAGTTAGTTTCAAACTTGAATGAATCAAACCCTAAATGGATTTGAACCCATAATGTTAACAAAATTTTAAAAACCAGAAACTGACCCGACCGCTGCAATTCCAATTGCAACATCATCCAAAGTCACCCCTGGACACAAATGGTGTCGCGTGTATCGGCAGCTTGGTACCTAAATGCTGTTTCTGTCGGATCAGCAACACTGATTGTATCGTAGTAATTGGGAGCCTGGCTTTTTCTTCTCATCTCTACCACATTCTTATGAGAGTTGGAGTGTAATGATGGAACAAAATTCGGACTTGCAGCAGGAAGATAGTCGGGAAAGAGGCGGCCAGACCTGTAGCGAACTCCGCATGCATTACAAAGGGTCTTTGGTCCATAAGTGTCTAAGTAAAACCACATCTTTCACAAATCAATATCGATGAAATTCTAACATCAGTCGCAAAAGCAATATACGTGGCAAGACAAGTATTTCAAAATAATTAGGCACATGCCACCCAAAAATAATGGCAAATCGGAAGATGAAACATTACAACAAAATGTATTGTACGAATAAGTCGATCCTCCAAGTGTCAGGTCCGGGTCGCCTATCAAAAAGTATTTGAAAGGGAAAAGTTTGGGGGAATGAGCTAGGGAGCTTAGTGTGTTCCAACAGTGCAGAAATAAACATACAATTAAGTTTCCAAATCAGTTCAGTTCCAAGTTATGAAAACGTCAATAGTGTTTTAAGCTTAAAATACAAAATCGCCCTCCAACCGAACACCATATGCAGTTCCCCAAAACTGCATCCATAAGGACTTACCCTAAGCCCAAAAGATGTAGGTGCCAACCTAAGGGAGCATCTTAGGTCCATAAGATCTTACCCTAGTCGAAACGTAGGTGCCCCTTGAGGGGTGTGCCCTCAGGCCCATAAGGACTTACCCAATGCACATAGCACAAGTGTCACCCTAAGGGAGTACCTTAGGGTCCATAAGGTCTTACCATTAGGCCCACTGGGCCCAAGAGCCCACCCAAGGGTTGCCTTAAGTCTATAAGGAATTATCAGCTGATCGGTATTGAACCTATATAAGAAATTACCAGCTTGATCAGAGTTGAACCTGCAGAGACTTCATACCAGATCCCAGAGTATCCCGAAGAAAATAGTTTTCAGACAATATTTAGCAGTAGTAGAAAAATCAGAGTTCAAACAAAAATTAATTCAATAAAAATAGTAATCAGATAAAATAATCAGACAAGCATGCTTAAAAACTTCAGTAAATCAGAAATCATACTTGAAATAGATAAATCATACGAAATCAAGTCAACATATAGTCACATTGCAAATCAGACAAAACAATCATCTGCACATGATATTTCATACATATATTTAAAACATGTAAATGGCACACAAGGAATACACATCGCAAAAAGAATCAGTTCGGGAGATCTATCGAGCACCAACTTCACTACGCTCTTCGACTGTACTCGAACCTAGATCATATCAGAATAAGGTTATTAACGAAGTAATACATTAAACTGAGTATTTAATTGGGTTGCAGAACTATACGAGTAATCACAGGCTATCGCGGTCGAGCGGATCGGGAGGAACTGGGTCGAGCAGACGAACGATCATGAGAATCGCGGGCATCTTAAATATACGATAACATAAATTAGCCCTCGACTCTAAATTAAATTAAATGCACTTAGATTAATCTCTTAAATGAATTACTTAAATTACATATGCATATTCGGGTTTATGGGTCAATTCGGAGGTTTTTGGGTTCGAATTTGGAAAAATAAATTTCGAATTTGGACTCAGGACGTAAAAAACATAAAATATGAATTTTCTAAAAATTTGACTTTTTGGTCAAAGTCAACGGTTCAGACCAGTTCGGGTTGCCTTAGGCCGATTCGGGTTGACTTAGTTCGATCTGAGTGTACTCAGACATGTTTGAGTTGACTCGAACCAGTTCTAGGATGTTTTAAGGCTTGGGAGGAGCCCCACGCGCACGCGGCAGCTGCCGGATTTTGCAATTAACCGAGGAAAGCCGAGGGGGATTTTCGACGGCTTGCTCTCGATTCAGGCCAAACAGTGACCGCTTCGAGGTCATTGTCGGTTGGGGACAGATCGCCGGAGGACATTGGTTCTGCTGATGGCGACGGGACACAATAACAGCGGCCGAAGTGGGATGGTTCGACGGAGAAAGCTTGGGTGTTGAAATTTGGGAATTGAGGTTTGGTTTAGGGGGAAGGGTTTTTGGTATTTCTTAACCCGAGCCTAACCCCTTAAAACTAATTTTTATTATTTTTATATACAAATGTGACCTAGGCTAGATGGTAGAGGGATGGCCGGCCATGCCTGGGTTTAAACCACCCCAGCCACCAATTATCTTAACTAAAATTTGGGGTGTGACAAACCAAGCACTGAATGAGCCAGCTTGCGTGGTTGGACCGAAGCAGTTTTAACAGCATGTGGTGCACATAATGCATCCCATATTCTTGGCGCATCTGGACTGGAGTACAAAATACAAATACAATGCCAGAGTATATAACTTCAACAAGTGGAAATGGGATGTAAAAGAGCCTGTGTATTCAATTTTCCAACCCCAAATATTACAAACTTTTGTGCTATTGACAGACTTCTAATTTGCAAAAAACAAATTCATGCACGGTGATATATAAGAAACTAATCACAAATCAGAATATGCAAAGGTAGAACTTACTGGAAAGGTAAGGCTTTCAACTATACTATCACCGAAAACATCTCTATAAAAGCTGGAAGAAAAGTCAGCCAAAACACCAGCAGGCGGTGGCTCCAAGTTCTGAAAGTTACAATCCCACACTTCACCGCCACTGTTCTCTTGTACGTCGTCCAATTGTATATCCAGATACTTTATTACGTCATCAAAGAAATCATCGTCCCCATTCAAGGTTTTCTCAAACCAAGGATTAGTCATAATGATTTTTCTTTAATTATCTGTTCGCAAAAAACAGAAACAAAACAAGTTAAATATAAAAAAGGCGTTTATTTGAAGAATTTATAACTCTAAACCCAAACGAAAGAAATGAATGAAAACGCGTATAAAAGGGGTTAGAAAAGAATCCTTGTCCCATTTGGAAAGTACCTTATCTAGATAAAATTTACAAAGAAAAGACTTGCTATCGATTTCTTCCTTCCTTCATTTTCTGAATAATTGAACTGAAAGCAAAACTAAAATGCAGAAGATAAAGTGAAATGCAATAAAATGCTAACATTTAAAACAATGCAGAGAGAGAGGGAGGACCTGTGGTTTGAAGGAGAAGAGTGAAGGAAGAAAAGAAGTGTTTGGGTGAGAGGAAAATGAGTGGTAAAATGAAATTAGATTCTCTGAGTGTGTGAGAGAGAAAGTCAATGTAAGAAGGCGCCCAAGGGGATATCTGCGCGGTTTTCCTCTATCACCGTTTATTTATCCTCAAAATCTAAATCTTTGAAAAATATTACTACTAATTTATAAGAATTAAAATATGAATAATTAGAGGAAATATTACTACTAAAAGTAAATTACACTTCTTCAAATATGATAAATCATGTATTTAATTTGGTCTTCCCATATATAAATTAATACGACAATTTTTATAAGTAAATAAAAAAATAAAATTAAATGCATAACATAAAGGTGTATTTAGTATGATTTTGGATTTTTTTATCGTTCTTCATTTTTTTAATTCGATAACCTTTAATTTTTAATTTTATTTTAGTAAAATAGTTTTATACTATAAATTTTTAACAATAAAATTTTGTTCTTTATAAATATTTATAAAAAAATAATTTATAAATTGTGTATAAATTTTTAAAATTTTTTTTACTATTTTAGATAATAAAATAATTAAACTTAATTATAAATTAAATAAGTATTAAATTTAATTTGATTTTGATAACCACATATTTTAAATTTATGAACCATAAATTATGCTAATATCATAGTTTAGATCGATTTTTTGTTATATAATCATTGGTATATGATTTATTAATCTACTAATCCGGATCAAATACTGTAGAGGTAAGAGCGATATTTTCAACTCAATTTACTCCATTCATAGATATCAGGATTCAAACTCCTATTTTTGCTTAAGTAATCTAGTATCTTATCCCACCAGACTAACTTATTGTTAATATAAGTTAACCAATTTTTAATTAACATATAATAAAAATTAAAGGTGTTATGGGCTAACTTGAATTGGATTTGCACATGTGATTATTATAATTTGAACTCACCCAAATTTAATAATTTCTAAACTATAAGTCTAAAAATTTATTTAAAATTATCTATATTATTTTTAATCTTTTTAATTTAATATTTAATTATTATATATATTCCGTTTTTTTTATTTCTTTTACATTTTCACACGTAAACAATTTAGCATGTTTATATTATAAGATGATATACTATCATAAATTTAATTTTTATATACTATATATTATACTTATATACAACATAAATTAAGAAAATAAATCGAATTAGATTCAAATCTTAAATATTGAAATTTAAATCCCTAAAATTTGGATTTTCCATTTTTTTTAATGGTAGTAGTTTTACATTGATAACACGAGAGTCAACCATGTGCCTCGACTCGAGTACAAACGGCTCTCCATTATTTGTACATTACGGTAAGAATCTTACCAAAAATGAGGCTCAGCAATATGAATGAATCCACTCTTTTTTTCATCAGTACAAAAAATTTTGAAGTCTAACAAACATTAGGTGAGATGATATATGAACAAATGGGATGATAATGAGGGAAAGTTGGGGAGAAACAAATATTTAAAAGGAACCCCCTCCCCCAAAACAAATACTATAAAAAATTACCCTGCTCTGGACTGAACACGGTATGCCTCGTCGGCACTGGCCAGACGATTCTGAAACATAGACCTCTCCGTTTTGCATCTTTTTCTAACCTGTTAATGCAAAATTTTCATATCTAAGCCACTTTGTTGTTAAGACCAGAGCCAACAGAACAAGTTTGAATATTAACATACCCCTCGCCCACGACATTTCCCATACTTGGTTATGCCCTGAAATTCCACAGAAATCGCAACAATGAGAGAGGTTACCATCAAGAGGGCAGGCCATTGCCATGACAAACATGTTGAGTATAAATCCATCAAGGGTTGGATCAACATAAAGGGAAACTAACATAATTCAGCATTAATGCAGCGTAACATAGCCAAATTAACTCGCCTGCTTTAATAGCAAAGGATTGTCTTGACGACTAACCCACTGTGAATCTACTACGCCAATTTTTTCATGAGCAGGCTGTGCAGAAGAAAGATGATTGTTATTGTAGTGTTGCATGGAAAGAAGAGTCAATAACCAAAAGCAAAAAGCTCAATAGGAGACAGAAACTGCTAACATCAACGCATCTTCTGAGAGCAAAATCCAATCCCCATCCATACACCAGATCATTCTATAACAACATAACGCTTTGTTAAACATTTTGGTAGTATAAAAAGAAGGAAGCAACTCAAGAAATTGAACCAAGTTAATATCCAGAAAAAAAAAATAAAGTATCGTAAAGCTCCTAATCCGTGTCTTTTTGCTTCTTCCATCATCATAGAAGTTGAGAATCGAGGGAGATCATCTTGAACGTTACTGGTATATCTACTCAGAATTAAGTCCATGAAATCCGTAAGCATACTTTACCTGAATCATATACCATACACAACGCCAAGCTTCCCGAGAAAATACAGGCGCAGTAATTTCCACAAAACTGAGAGAAAACAATCGATGTTAAATGCAGCAGTAGCAGATATCAAAGAGAAGCGTATCAGAGGCTGTGTGAGAGAGGGAGCATACGCAGCACATGGTGGCAAATGTTGATCGAGACACCAGCCCGGTTTCTCAGTGGTAACCCTGTTGAACCGATTTTGAAATGAACAACTTTAAGAGATATAAAGCAACAGGGACTTTTGTTTTTATGATTGTCAAGAGAGAAAGAGAGCCTACTTATGAACTTCTAAGTCATCTCTCCTCTTTGTCATCTGCCATGTCAGTCCGTCATCGGGATCCACTCCTGGTTGTGAGATCTCCAAACCATGTTTCTTCACCAGTTCTATGTATCTGGTAAGTTGTGCAGAGAATTTTAGAAAGAAGCACGCCCGTGTTGAAAATTAAGTTAAAAAGTATAACACAAACCTCTGTGCATTAAAGTGTTCCACTCCCAGATCTTCATCCCATATGAAAATATATTCGTAAGAAGAAACAACATCTGGGTGCAAAAACCTTTTTGCATACCACCTAAAACATACAAATGTATATACATATATGAACATGAAAATGTGTATGTTTAGAATCTTCGGAATACTGCAAAACCTACCATTTTGTTTGTTTCTTCACACTAACATGGATTGCTCTCTTCGACCAATCGAATCGGTCCCATTCATTTGTCCGGCCGTCATAATGAAAAAGTAAAATTTGGAAATCCGCAGAGAACTACCTCAACAACATGTAGGCAGGCATACATGAGTATCAGAAACTTTGAAATCATATTTGTAAAAGGAAACAATGAACACTAAAAAACAAAAGAGGGATTGGTCCCATTGTCGAACCTTTCTAACACATGCATCAATGTTATTCATCTGATCAATACCAACAGAAAATGTTGCTAAGTACTTTGGTTTCCTCTTCAGATCCTGCAGATTTAAAGCCAATCATTACAAGACAGAGGTACATTTGAGCATATTCCAAGGTGCATGTCTGGAAACTGGCAATGACCGTCTCTGTAAATATTGTGCATCATACCAGAGTAGGTAAACCCCATAATCTGTGAAGAAAAAGGTCAGATTTTGGAACAATGATTCGAGGAGGTAATCTTGCAATGCGAGGATCTGAGCGAGGATTTCTGTGGATACGTTTCTTGGTAAAAAAAATCAGGGAAAAAAAAACAATTAACAAACTGGATCAAAATCGTGCACCATGATGTAATCGAGAACAAAGAACACTGCTACACGCGAGAAGCTGGAAAACACAGATGATATAACTCATTACCATCGGTGGCGGTGGGGTAACATTGCCTGCAGTTGTTTTAGGGGACTTGACTGCAAAGAATACTTGATCATTAGATACTGCTGCATCAACAGATGATCTATGGCTTGAAGGTAAGTAATTCTGCAGGATTGAAAAAAAAATCATATGAATGATTGATCTATACAGCATTGGTAGATATAAATGAAGGGAAACGTACCATGTAACGAGAAAATACTGGTAATGAAATACCAATTAAGAATCCAAAAACAAGTCCAAGAATTGTTGTGAAAACGAACAGGGCACTCTCTTTAGTTTTCTTAAGAACCCCACTGTCAATGCATTAAAAATGGTTTAACAATGAACATAAGCATGCAGTAAGTTTCAAAACAATGATTAATGAGTTAACAGAAATGGTAACCTGCGTTGCATGGTGGCCATATCAATAGCGCTGTTTTGCAGTTTATTTAAAGGGTAAAATGGCCACAAGAAGACTTGTCTTCCATAAGCACCTTGAGGAGAAAATGGCTAAAGCCAATTCCCTTGAATTTCTTGATCTGCATAGTTAAAAAAATCTCTCATCACATTCAACAACATAAATCAATGTTTAAACAACAAAACAAATGTTCAATTTACGTGTAAAAATACAAATATTCTTCTAATAAAAACAAAAACTCAAGAAAAACAAACAAACTTTATAAAATTTGTCATCTACAAATTATTTTAAAATATTAACAACTCAGAATAATCTAAATTTCACAGAAAAAAGAATGTTAGGGTTAGAAACTTACCTGGTGATTAGTTTGGTGTTCTGTCAGCGAGAGACAAACCCAAAAAAAAATTAATATAAAATTTTATAAAGAAAGACAAACAAAGAGGAAGTAAGATTTGTTGTGTTTTCTGTTATTAATGCTATAAAATATTTTAATATTTATACAATTCTAATATTAAACTGTGTAATTTTAAAAAGGTGTAATGTTAAAATCCATCCCTAATTTGAGAAATAATGAATCAGTTGTAATATTTATTTATTCAAATTAATTTATTAGCACGAATCTAGTGACCTCGATGGTAAAAGAATCGTTTTTATCCTTTGAGATATCGGGTTCGAGCACCAACAACACCGGTGGTAAAAAAATTGTTGTTATCTTGGATTTGTTTCACATAAAATTTCATTAATTGTAGCTTAATTAGATATATAGGTACCAAATCTAAAACACAATAAAAGGAATTCAAACTCAAAGAGAGTAACCTCTTTGGCAGCCATTTCAGATTTAGTTTGAACTCAGAGAGTCTCCTTTTTTATTATTGAGAATAAAATAATTAGATACATATAATTAATCTCGAGATATTAATTTAAAAGATATTAAATATTCATACAAACAGAAAAATCATGATAAATGTTTACATATGAGTAGATGATATATCAAATTTTGTCTTCATCATTTGGTCTAAAGAGTTGAACCGATCGATGATTTACTGGTTGTAATGGTCTAGCATTAGTATTTGAAGCCTGCAAAATTAATTAAAATAATATGTTATATTAATAGGTAATGGATGTGAAGACTTTTTTTAAAAATAAATAAAGAAGAAGAAGTTACATCGTGAACCGCCACACGTAATAATCTGACCTGTTCCCTGGTAACAGTCCTCACCTGAGGTTTGAACAAGCAGAAAGTGTGAGAGAAATGATTAGAAAAAGAGCAACACAAGGATTATTGAGGAAACCAAACCTTTCTGACAAAGCTCCACACAACATTTTCAGTACAAGGAGGAACAGTAAGAGAGCCTATGTATCTGTAATATTTTCTGCTGCCGAATTTTATGCCCCTTGGATCCACCACGCCCACGCCTCGCTGTCCTTGTGTGATATCGGTGATGGCCGCTAAATGATCCCCCAACTGCAGTTTCCAACATATTTCAATATCAAAATACTTCATTTTATTTGTTTCTCTGAAAACTGAATTTGGATTGGGCAATTACTTACCGAGGCAATGAAAGGATCTGATCTTCCAATCTTGTACAGTATCCCTACTACAGCTATCTTACCGTCTGCACTTTGATGAACCAAGTGCGCCTCTAAATCAAACCTGAATGAAGTAGCATATATATTTAGTTGGTTGTAGGATCACCATGCATGCATTATACTGAAGAGAAAATACCATATATATATATATATATATATTACCTTCTTCCGTCGATGGTGTGTTCGGAAGGAGAATGCCAGTGACATTGGTGGAGCGCATATTCAGTACCGTTGATTTCTATAAGCCCTGCTTCTTCACCTTCCCAACTCAACTGTAATCATCAAAATAATTGGTAATTATATTTTCGACTGAAATCAAAATCCACTGGGTTTGTTTTTATTAAAAGAAAAATCATCGATTACCATCATATCATGACCCCTATTTCTTAGAGTGGCATTGGCTGGCTTGTAGCTTCGCTTGAGCCTCCCTAAATGGGAAACAATCTCAACTCTTTCATTAGACATATCAATAGGAGATTGCATGGTTCCATTGCTGCATGCTCCCCATTCCGGGTGAATCTCTCCCCACCTTGCTGGTCCTCTTTCACTATTTTCGCTGTAATTAAACTCACTTTCATCCTCTGCAAATATATACATGAAGTAAATTCTTTGCACATTAATGGTGAAAACGAAATGCAAATATAAATGGTGACGGGAATCAGATGACTTACCCACTTCTTGAGATGTTGCCAGCCGTGAATATTGCAACACAAGCAGGAGGACCAAACTGCAGGCGAAGAGTTTGGTTTGGAACTTGGCCATCTTTAATTACGAAGGAGCTTGTAATAATTAAATACGTTTATATTAAGGAGTGTTTGAAGTTGATTAAAGAAGGGGGGAGGAGGCAGCTTTTTATAGTTGATTCAACTTGGAAAAAATCTATGTTTTCCTTTTGAACATGTTGGGAAAAAAATTGGTTTCTTGGGAGTTAAATTTGTTGGCAGAATGTGACTTTTTTTTTTTATAACAAATATGAACACGCGTGGAAGTCAACAAATTCATAACCAACCTTTTTTCCTTTCTTTTTTTAAAAAAATTTCAGAGTTCAATTTATACTATTTTAAATTGCATTGTATAAATTGATGTAATATGACAGTACATGCTTAAATGTACGTACAAGATTGCACCAAATTCAAAAGATTTGAATAGAGATTTTTTCTGATTTCTTTATGTATCCGAATTCATCGTGGTATATAAATTTATATAGAAACAAAATATTAGTCACGAATTTTAAAATGATTTCATATTTAAGACGAATATTAATTATACACAAAATTCTTATAATAAAACATGTGTGCCTGTTTACATGGAAGTTTAAATGAAAGCTATAATGAGACAAAAGAGTCTCAAAAGGGAAAAAGAAGAAAATTCTTTAGGTCATATAAGTTGTACGGTATCGTATCGATTATCAAAACAAAATTTTGAAAGCGTACACTAAAATAATATCTCAAAAAAATGAGATTACCTTTTTTATTTATTTAATCTACTTTTATAATGATTATAAAAGTTGTTTTTTATTCAAAATGTGAGATTTGTAGTAAAAGAATTGTTTTGTGCGTTTGAAACTTCGATACCTAAGTTACTATTGTTATTTTGAATTTTAAATGACTGATACCATTACTAAAATCATAATTATTGTTCTTCCCAAAGTTACATTTATTTATGTATTTCAAGAGTAAAAAAGGCTTGTTTATGTTTAAGATGAATTAAAACTGCAATTGCACCATTCAACCAAGGCGGCCGAGATTATATTTCAGTAGATTCAATAGTTAAGAGTTTTAAAATAAAAATCTTAATTTGATGTATGGCCGTGTAAAACTCAGAATATCAACACATTGTTCAAACAAATTGTTTCTGTGTTCCCCCCCCCCAGTCAATATGCATACGTATACTATTATAGTTTTCAAATTTCGATCATTTATTTATTTATACATTTTGGGAAGATATGGGTTTAACAATTTTGTAGTCATGGCAACAACGTAAATGCTGACGGTGCTCATGTTTTTACTTGGGAGGTGCTGATGTTATTTAGTTGATCATTTCTCTCAGAGTTCAATTTGAAAAACAATTTGGAGAAGGATATTAATTAAGAAAAGGGTATAGTCAGTCATTGCACGTCCCGATTTCATATATCTAACAACAAAGAAAGCTTCAAAGTTAATGTTCAAAATTTTTTGTAAGTGAATGATTCCAGATTAATAGGAATGATGAACTTGAAGATGTGAGATCCTCTTTCTTGGAAAGCAAGCTTTAAAACATAGCCAGCGACCTTTGACTTGGCATCTTCTGGAAACAAATTTATTATTGATACATCTAAAAATAAAATATAATCACCTTTTAAGAATGTTTACGCAAATCCATAAATTTAAGAATTTATTGCATTTAAAAGATCAGAGGGATACTGAGGGGAAAAGATTGTTTTAAAATTTACGGTAATTTTATAGTGATTGTCAGAGTTATTATAAGATATTAACGATTCTGATAAAATTATAAGGTCTGCAATTATTGATTATATTGTAGATTATAATAATTATTGACAATTTTGTTAATATAAATACGAACAAGATAAGATTAGACATATGATGTGTAAGTATAGTGTTAGAAGATCACAACATGCAAGATGATCGTTTAATAAAATAAACATTAAGATTTTACGTGGGAAATCTTTCAGGAAAAACCATAGGTAGAAGAGGAGAAAATTTACTAATGTCAATAGAAGAATAATACAAGAGGAGTCCTCCTGGATAACCTAATCTATAACTCTAATCCTTAGTATTTATTTATAGATATTAATACTTGATTATAAAGGAAACTAAATAAAGTAGAAATCTATTTCAATAAAGTTGTCTCCTTATAATCAATCTAGATTTCTGCTTATTGGTATACGTGAATGATATCATCATCATAAGTAGTTATTCTGTTGAAGTTGATGATATTATGCATTATATTAATTTTGAGTTTTCTCTCAAAGATCTTGGTGAGCTTAAGTTCTTCGTTGGTATGGAAGATCAATATAGTTCTCATGGGTTATTGTCGATGCAAAAGAAGTATATTATTGAGTTGCTTGCCAAGGCCAACATGCTCACAGCATGACCTGCACCACTCTTATGACTATTGGGTCCAAGTTATGTACTGGAGATGGTCAGGTGTTCACTGATATTCATCTCTATCGAAGTATAACTGGTGATCTAGCTACAATATGTGTGTTTAACTCGACTGAACATTCCGTATGTTGTTAATAAAGTAAGTCAATTCATGAATGATCCTTATGATGTTTATTGGAAAGTTAAGAAGAGAATTCTTCACTACTAGCGAGGAACCTTTAGTCATGGGTTATCTTTTAAATCTAGTGGTGTTTTCAACCTTGTGTGTTACACTGATGCATATTGGGCTTCTTTAATAGAGGACAGAAGATCAATAACAGGATATTGTGTTTTTCTTGGTTCTAATTTTATTGCTTGGTGCTCCAAGAAGCAGAATGTTATTTTTCGTTCTACATCCGAAGCTGACTATCACAATCTTGTTAATGTTGTTTCTGAGTTGATTTTGGTAGAGCAGTTGCTGTTGGAAATAGATTTAGCCTTGGTAAGCAAGTCAATTGTGTGGTGTTATAATACATCAATAGTCTGCATGGCTACAAATTCAATTCATTGTGCTCGCATAAAACATGTTGAGATAGACGTTCATTTTGTTCGAGAATATGTTTTTCATGGCATGTTCTCACTTTTCACTTTCTTTTGCCTTATCACCAAAAGTTACTAAATTAATACATGTCATCACAAGTAGATCGGTTCGGTTAAAAAATATATTAGGGCAAATCTTTGTTGGCTCACAACAATAATTTATAAAAAAAGAATTAGAATATGACATCACAAAAATTGTTAAAAGTCAAATAATGTTAGGCACCAAATTAGGCACCGAATGGTGCTTTGTCAAAATAAAAAATTAGGCACCTAATTTTTTGTTGAAATTGGGTAATGGGATAATTAATTTTAGTCATTGTAGTTTAGGGTATTTATAAGATTAGTCATTAAGTTTTAACTATAAATACCCTAGCTCATTTAGCTTCAAAATCATCCCAAATCATTATAGTTTTCTCCCAATACTAAAGAATTTAGAGAGTTTCTTGAGATTTGTTTTCTCCTTTTTATCAAGAGAGAATTATCATTGTTTTCTCCTTGGTAGATCGAGAGAAGTTGTAATTCCTATTTTCTCATAGTGAAATTCTTCTACCGTTGTCCGTGGTTTTTACCCTATATTATTTAGGGGGTTTTCATGTAAATTTTGTGTCTCTTTTATCTTCATTTTTATTTTCTCAAATTATCAGTTGCGATTTTACTCTATCCGATAACCGTCTTCCGTAACAATTGGTATCAGAGCTAGATTAGAGTGTGTAATATCTGCTTATTGTCTTTGTGGTTGCCACCAAAAGGTAGATCCTCAAACATAAGAAAGTAAGAAGGTATTACCCATTCTTTGAAGGTTCCAGAGAACTATTCACGATAGTGAAATAGTGGGAGCTATCCATAAAAGAAGCTATGACAACAAAATTTGATATTGAAAAATTCAATGGGAGAAATTTCTCATTGTGGAAATTGAAGATAAAGGTCATCCTGAGGAAAGACGGTTGTCTAACAGCTATTAGTGAAAGGCCGGTGGATTTCACAGATGACAACAAATGGATTGAAATGGACGGGAATGTTATGGAAAACTTTCATCTAGCATTAGCAGATGAAGTATTGTCAAGCATCGAGGAGAAAAAAGACAACTAAGGAGATATGAGATCATCTCACCAAATTGTACGAGGCCACATCGCTGTACAATAAAATTTTCCTTAAGAGGAAATTATACACTCTTCGTATGCCAGAATCTACTTCAGTGACGGAGCACTTAAACACACTGAACACGTTATTTTCTCAGCTTACATCCTTAAGATGTACAATAGGAGAACAAGAATGTGCTGAACTTCTACTTCAAAGTCTACCTGATCCGTATGATCAACTCATCATCAACTTGACAAACAGTAATGTCACCAATATAGTCTTCGATGATTTAGCAGCTGCTGTTCTTCAAGAAGAAAATCGGCGCAAGAACAAGGAAGACAAACAAGTAAATCTGCAACAAGCAGAAGCATTGACAACGATGAGAGGGAGATCAACAGAACGTGGCCAAAGTAGCAGTCACAAACATGGTAGATCGAAGTCGAGAAGCAAGAAGAATTTAAAGTGCTACAACTGTGGAAAGAAGGGTCACTTGAAGAAGGATTGTTGGAGTCTAAATAAAAACTCCAATCCACAAGGTAATACCGCAAACACTTCAGATGATGGAGATGCTCTATACTGTGAAGTGTCAACCACCGTGGAAGGTAGAAAAAGATTTACAGATATATGACTCATTGATTCGGGAGCAACAAATCACATGACCTCAAGAAGAGAATGGTTACATCAGTATAAACCTGTCTCAGGAGGATCTGTGTATAGTTGCAATGATCATGCCTTAGAGATCATTGGCGTGGGAACCATCAAATTGAAGATGTATGATGGAACAATTAAAGTTGTTCGAGATGTGCGGCACGTGAAAGGCCTAAAGAAAAATTTATTATCCTACGGATTGTTGGATAATAATGCAAGCAAGATTGAAACACGGAAATGAATCATGAAGGTATTCCGTGGAACGCTTGTGGTGCTGAAAGGCGAAATGATAGCAGCAAACTTGTACATGCTGAAGGGAGAGACTTTGCTAGAAGCAGAAGCCTCTGTTGCCTCATGTAGTTCAGA